TCGAACACCTGAAGACGTCTCAGTTCCGCTGCTCGAATAGGCAAAGTCTCACAGCCATACAACAAAACAGCCCGCACTGTAGCTTGATACACACGTCCCTTCAGATTCAGGGATATACCATTCTGACGCCATAGGTTTCTCAAGTTAGTATACGGTATGGCGTTGTTCTAGCACCTGACTAAGTGTGAAGATTTGGTCAACACAACCCCTATCAGGCCGGAATTCCGCTTACTGCTCTCAAGTCAGTACCTCGCGAGCCACCGTAAGGCGACGAAGCACAATTGACGTTAAAACCGGGTTGAAGCTGATCCCCCTATGGTTACCACGCTCACTATGCGCCCCTTTTTTGAAAACGGGCACTATCACCGATTCTCCCCGGTTGTCTGGGATAGACTCCCTTTCCCAAATGCAAGCAAACAGATCGGATAAGCACTGACTGAGGATTTCACCCACGTCTTCGAACAGTGCGGGTGGAAGGTCATCCGGACCGGGAGCGCGGTGGCCCTTGAGAGAACACAGGCAGTCGTAAACCTCCGAGGCCGTAGGTGGTTCCACATTCACCGTCCAGGGTTCTACTTCACCTGTGGGCTCTAGATAAGTGCCGGCTGGTGGCCAAGACATTTGTTGTTCGAAGTATTCAGCCCATCGGTCGGGGCGTTCTTCTTTGTTTGAGATGATCGTTCCATTCTGATGTGTGATAGTTTCGCTCACAGTTGGTTTCCGGGGACCGGTCACGCGGATCAACTGAAATAATCTCCGGGCATTACCAGCTTTCTGAGCCTCTTCCATTTCTTTGGCTTTCTGTGTCCACCATACTTCACGGTCGGATCGCAAGCTCACTTTCACTTGACGTTTAATAACTCTTCGCAACGGGCTATGTTCGGGTTACTTTTTCGAGATTTAAGTAGTGCCACCGTTCGGTCTAATATCCAGTGCTTGAGTGCGCCTGGTTGGGTCGTGCCACAGGCAAAATTCCAAGCACTACGCAAAGAGTTGGCAATTTCATCCCAGTATGAGTTCACATCTGATGGTGGAGCATTTGGAAGAGACTCTAGAAGACGATTCTTGTAAGTTCGTCTGACATCCGGATCTGCCAGTCTTTCAGTTGCCATGCGATTTGTCCGCACCTTACGCGACCCCGGGAAACGTAGGGCGAAGCGACTCCGGACGAGCGCGTGGTCAGAGTCCACAAATGTGTTCCAAAACGACCGGCAGTCAGTTATGGACCCGCGCCATCGGTAACTGATGGCAACGTGGTCGATTTGAGTTTGTGGCCGACCTGTTGTAGGAGGGCACCAAGTGGCCAGACGACTTCGGCTATTTCGGAAGTTAGTACTGCACAAAAACAGCCTGCGATCAGCACACAGCTGAAGCAATCGTTCCCCATTGTCCGTACGTAACGAGTCCAGTCCATGTCGACCTACCAATTGAGTCTCAGATGCACTGAGCCCGCCCACTTGCGCATTCATATCTCCGGCAACCACCACAATGTCTGAGCTTTTAGCTCGCCGCAGCAGAGCATTCAGGGCGTCGTAAAACCTGTCTTTGACGGTGTCAGAGCTACAATCAGTTGGGGCATAGGCAGACACGATAAACAGACATCTATCAACTTGCCGCTTGTGAGACTCCTTCACAGACGTTGCCAGACGAACCGCACAGAGGCGACTATCAACAGGTATCCAGTCAAGTAAGGATACTTCCGCCCGGTGACTTAGCACAATATCAACCCCTGCATATCCCACCGAAGCAGCCTCTGGATCACCAGACGTGCGCAGCCGGAAGCGAGTGGAGACTGACGGGCCGGTTAGCTCAATCACTGTGCTTGCATCTTGAATTCTCGTTTCTGAGACACAGCACACATCAATGCCAAGCGAGTCCAGTGTGAGTGCAAGAGCAGCTTGTTGTCCTGCTTGCTTCAGAGTGCGGACATTGAACGCGGCCAGATAGAGTGGGTGTCGAGGCTTGAGGACTGATCTGGAGATTCCTGAAGATGTCGGCACCATGTGACGAGCAGATGCTGCACGCAAAACCGATGTATGACGATCGGAGGCATCAGTCCTAAGTGCTGAGCCCACAAGGAGAGAATTATTAATGGGGTGTGGAGGGGGGGAAGAAAAATATATGAAGGAGAGAGAAGGGAGGCGTCATCAGTAGCCCGTTTTTGTTTACTCGCCCAGCTGTATGCAGCAAGTAAGGCAACCCGGCTGATGGCACCACGCGACGGCCGATGTGGCATGAGTTTATTTGTGTATGTGCATTTCATAGTTGTACGTGGGTTGGGATACTGCCAGGGCGCCCACACCTAGACAGGAGGACGATTAGGGTCCTCAACCAAAGCCTTTGGCTCAAAAGCCTAACCGCGAGGCAGCGGAACAAGTCGCCACATGTTCCAACCCTCAACCTGGGTATTTCGAGGTAGGAACACAAGTTTGTTTTCGCTGTACTCAGAATGACGTTGCATTGTGCAATGCGTATCACATTTCAAGGCGCAATTTTTCCGAAACCCTGGTACGTGAGAAATGTCAAGCCATACAAAAAATGTGCTTTGCAGAATGCTGAAAACCAAACGAATCATAAAGAGCACAATGACTTCACCTCTTTAGCAGAGTCGGTCTCACTTACTGTCATTCAGCAACAGTTTGATGGCTCAGATCAGGGCAGTGTTCTACACAGCAAATTAATCGAGAGGTTATTTGCAGCTGCATATTTTCCTTCAAAGTACTTGGCGTTCTTGAAGGAAGAAAGCCAGAGATGCAGTCAATGTCCTGGTGAAGGATAACTCATGACAGGTTGAGGAGGTTGTAAAGAGATGAGTCGTTCGACCTTATAATTTGGGCTTATGCTGGTGAAAAGAAGTTTGCAGAACAATTTTGAGACACTGAACAGAACAGAAACCTTTTGAAAAAACAAGCACATGGCACGTGAAAGGTCGCAGGTCTAAGTATTGTCCAAGAAGTTCGTATTTTTCTTCACATTATGGGTCCTTGTGTGCACGGTGAGCAATACAAATTCAATGGACAAAACCAGCATTTATCACTCTGGTTTGGTCTCCGAATTTCCGTGTCTCACTCGATGAGGTGAATCCCAAAATTATTGTTTGGAAATGGGTCAAAATCCGTTGTACACAAGTCGTATAGACAGGAACAGATGCACGGTTACTAGTACATAGAGATCTATCTCAAACTTTCTCAAAGTCAATAACCACAAGTTTAACTCGAAAATGATTTGATACAAACAGCCTATAACAAACAGTATCTTCACAGAATAAAGGTTGTTGCAATTGCCTGTATTCGCTGTGTGCTTGGTTGACAACACACACCGAACACCATGTATCTCGTTAATCAGGAACACGCACTAACTAACTAGATCAAGCAACACCAGAAGCATTATATCGAGTCTAATTACCTGCTGCTCATGTACCGGGAAGAGCTTTGTACAACGCATTTCGGTTGTTTGAATTCATTCTGCAATATACCAGTGGCAAGTTGCAGCTTGCTGATATATATGACGATTACAGGCAACGGAGATTTGTGCGCATAATTTGCGAGTTAAACAGCATTCCAGTGCTTTCCTCTACACCAATGTGGGTAGTATTGCTGTACTGCACCAGAAAGTCGCCAGCCTTTTATTTCATCTCTCCTAATACTGATGAGTAGTTAGGTTACATTGCACCTTTAATAGAGTACACGAAACCACCGGTATGTAGAGCCTTGGATACCGCAACTATGTGGAGGTAGCCAGTGTGATTTAATGAATTTATCAGTTTTTATGCATTAAAGTGGATTTCACTAGTGATGGTTGGTTAGACGGTTAGCAAGGTTTTGGTCAGGCTTGGCGTACACATCAATGGTCACATGATCAAACACCAGTGAGCGGGCGACACGACAAACTGTTCAGTTCTAACAATGATATTGACCACATTCGGCACAGCCTGAAAATTTGGTGCAAAGCACAAATTATAAGGACGAAATCTATGATGGTTGTAAATTACACCTCTCAAATTACCGAGGATAATGTTCGATAAGCACCAGGTCAAATTTCTGTCCAAAAGTAGTCGAAAGAGATCAGCGTGAAAGTACTCACACATGACAGGAGTTCCATCTGGAGGCATGAACGTGATGATTGACAAATATTTTCTGCATTATTTGGTGAGGCGCAAACCGGTGTCATTCCGTCTAACCACCAGGACGATAAACGGGCTTCATTTTATACAGACGAAAATGTTTGGGTTGATCTGAAGTAAGTCCGCGATTGTTTTTCTCGTGAGGATGTGGTTGACTGAAGTGAATAGTAATGTGACATCAAATGAAAGCATAATTTTGTCATCTGTACTGACGATCTCTAGTTTGCATGGAAATTGACCACCAAAATTGGCTGTGTGTTCCGATTTAGCAATCAAGGATTTCAATATTCTCCGTAAGTCTTCTGTTAATTTGTAAGACTGAGTTCCCGGAAGTGAAATGATTTGTCGAACTGGAGTTCATTTTCATGCACACTTGATGGTCCGTAGAATCAAGCAATGTTGGTATCATCGGCTTTTGTTCTCCGTCGTTCCCGCCTGGTTATCTCGTGTACTGCTTGCAGTTTCTTGAGCGTCATGTTGACTCTATTGATGACGTTTGAAATTCGATTATGAGCGATTAACTTGCAGGTTGTTGTGTCACTTAGTAGTTGTTTGGACATTTTTGTGTAACCTAGCTTTTTCATTATCACCGTGATGCGTCCCTTGTTCGCCGGTAGTATTGTGACTGTTTCCTCTTTTCGTAGCTTCCTGATCCCCGCCTTCTCACTCCGGCCAACAAACAAAGTGTCACCCTCAGAAAACTAATTTAGCCCCAAGAAAAGCAAAGCCAATCATGCACTTTCTACGAGGTTTCAAAAACCTTGAGTAGTGTGTTACGACTAGAAAGGTGGTACTCCTTGTAGCAGGTCTGGTTTTGAGATTTGCTTCTCAGAATTATGCATCAAGTTACTTTCAGGATAATTATAAAAACAAAACTGAGAGCAGAAGACAACTTCGTGAAAAGAAATGCTGTTTCATGACTAGTGTCCTCCATTCCAAGTTCACTTGATTAGTTAACATTTCAAAGCAACATTTCTAAATGATTTTTATCCACTTTCACTTGGGTAAAAATAGTCGTTTGGCTGGAACTGCTTTTTACATTTTTGTTCAACAGACTTTATTGTAACGGTATTCCGGGATCTCGGCTATTCTTGATTTAAATAAAATATGTGATCGCTTTTAAGCATAATTTTGGATTGACAGTTGATTTAGGAAGAATGGAAAAGCCACCTTCGTTGATTTCTATGCCGATCCGTTGATAAACAATTTTGCATCCCTGTCGTCACTACATGGCTGACAATTCACAGAAAAGTTTGAATTAACGTTTCCTACAGCTCCAAACGTCTATTTCAAAAGCATGCAAAAAATAGTGTAGCTGAGTAACCTCTTGCGGATAAATTGCGAAGTTGCGGTTATCCTGTTCACAACTTCGTCACGATTTCTCATAATTTTCAACGACATTTTCGAGCTACACTTTGTAAAAGACATTCTAGAGTGTCCAGTCCCTAGTGTCAAAATCTAAGATAATTTCTGGAGCAATAATAAATGTGAGGAAGTCAGTAGTGGTTTTTAAACATACGTGATTCTCCGACAGAAAACTGCACGGCCGGCATTTAGCGGCCCTAACTTTCATATTCCACGCTTTCTTGTGTTTATTTCTGGACCTCTGTGACCAAATTCAACGATGACGTGTGTGAAAGTAGAAAAATTCGTGAGACTCGCGGCAGAGTAAGAAGACAACCGATAAAGTCAATAAAGTACTTCACAAGGGACACTGCCCTCAGGGACAGAATGAAACATTATCTGGAGTTTTTCGTTCTTACTCCTTTCAGTAATGATGGATAGAAATAAACAGGTGATGGAGAATTTTGTTTAACTTTCGCAGAAGAGTGAAGCAGGTGGTCTCAGAAAAGGCATGAAAGGAACGGGGTTGAAAATGTATAGCAAGAGTCCCAGTGCCCATTGGGAACCATCAGTAGCAAGATCATTTCAACTTACAAAACCATTGAACTAAGAAGACTTATGCATTACGTTGGATCACGGTGCCGTTAACGTTATCAGCGTAGTATACGCCGTAAATACCATCCAGCTCAGGCTTAGCGTACAATGACAGATAATTGTTTGTTAGGCACTCCTGCTAGCAATTGAGGAAAAAGTGGTTACTGAGGTCAGCTGCGTGTATTGGAGTGTGATCTTGATATCCTGGTTCTAGATCCCTTCAGGGGTACAGTTCATGAAGATTAAAGTAGAAATAATAGAGAAAAGGCGGCTACACGCACCAGTGGAAGGAAGAAGGTTTTCGCTGCGGCTTTATTTATTGGAAAGCACCAAAGAACAGTTACAGACTATTGGACATGGAGGTGAAATACTCATAAGCGTCATGTTTATGAAAAACTTTGCATCCGTCTTTTGCTCAAACGTGTCTTCCTAGCTTTTTTGGATACCTATTTACTATCATAAAATGTAAAGGAATGCTACAAAGCAATTCCGCAAGTTCCTTAATAAATCTCATTTTTCTACAGAGGCGAAGCAGATTTGTGAGAAAGACACATACTACTCGCATGCCTCATCAGTAGTACCCACCGTTGGAAAATATAATCTTGCCGCCTTCCCTTAGATAACATGCACTTGGTAACAGGTCTGAATGTCCAAGTGTAGTGAATTAATGGTCATGGATAGTATTTAATTCAGCATTTAATGAAAGTTCATCAAAATATTCTCTCATTTCTTTGGCAGCAACAAAAGTTTGTTGAATCCTGTATGAGAAATGTGTTGTGCGATTTGAGTTCAAATAGGTTATAACATGAAGTAGAGAAACTGCGGATTACTCACCATTTTACTTATTTGAGTTGAACTCAATCGGTTGTACAAAACCAGGAATTGATTGATTTTTTATTGGTGTCTCCCAAAAAAGGGTCGAATTCCATGTGGTAATTTTCGGGGCAAACATGGCACATTACGAAGTGAGTGGAGCTCAGGTGCTTATGGTAGACCGTTTAATGGGGCGCTGGTTCACCAAAGCTAAGTTAACTAATGGCTGATAAACCTTCCATCACAGAGAATAGACGTGTGTCACTATTAGGACAAATGTGGGTATCTGGTATTCAAAAAATACAGTTCTACGAAATGGTCCGTGATACATGAAGGTCCCCATAACCAATTGAAAAACATCTCAGTAACGTCGAATATTCTGTCACTTTTCTATACTAAGGATGTTGGTCATTCTTACCGGAATCGTACGCCTCACCTCAGAGCAGTGGCGGTCATGATTTTGTAAAATATGGAATAAACCAAACCATAACTAGATAGTACGAGTGCCAAATATATTGGTTATCGTGATACGATAACCGATGCGACTTTACCGGTGAGAACAACAGAAACTACCACACAAATTAGGACGATAGATGAATACCAAACATTGGTTCCGTGTTGGGATAATTAGCAACTTCTTGCGACATGGTAATGAGTACAAGCTTACACATAATTTGTTGTTATCCGGGAAGCCTGAGGGGTTATTTTGACATCACTCGTTCTTCCAACGTGAACGACATGTTTCAAGATGGGAGATGAAATTTTGAAAAAAAAACCGAAAAAATCGCTTCATCCGTGAATCTTAATACTATCAGCATTTCGCACAACACAACAAATAAACATCACAGGGAAGCAGATAGAAGGCAATTAAAACCAGCCTTTCATATCCAAATCAAATAGCTGTTGGACTACGTTTAGGCGAGATATTGATGCATAAGTCGCTTTTCCTAAACGAATACTTGAGAAACTTCCTAGGTAACGTCGGACAACTTCCAAATCGCAGGCGTTTAAGTGAGAAAACCAAGACAGCTGATGCCTAGCAGAAATTGAGTGATAAACCAGTGAATCAACGGAAGAGCCAGGTTAAAATTAGCTCGAGTTTCTTCGGTTGGAAGAAATTTATCAATTTATAGAAAAACAAAGATGTACAAACCTACTGATATCCACGGATATCCAACCAGTCCTACTTGTAAGTAGTAAAGGATGATTGCACGCTGATATTCCAAGAGCAACAACGGTTTTGCATTCAACCTTAACACGAGGATAAACCTAAAGGGCATGACGTATTGGGCCGTAATTTCGATGCAAAAGTCGGATAATTTTGCCATCCCTATCTGCCATCAATCACCCGCTTACCATATCGGGTTACGTGGATAGGATGATGGATCATATTGCAACCTCCAACATTGTCCACAGCACATTAAGAAATAACCTGACGCACAGAGATCTGTCTTCGGACGTGGAAACCATGCGTAAAAATATAACAATTTCTAATTTTTTCATCGATGACGCACGCATCTAAACACATCTAAACGTTGCCGCAAGTTTTGTTGGCAATAGAACAATACTAGCTCCGCATGCGCAATCGCTGTTTCGCCGAATCGGTTTGATTCAGATGCAGGAGACGCGAGAGGAGTTTTTCTGGTGCGTGGTAGGTGGTGATGGGGCGGGGTAAGTCAATGGGACACGGTTGATTATTCCACGGATCGGTTTTCCAACGATTCAACTGTTGTCAGATGTTGAACACGGGTGACCTAGAAAGGGCTATGTGGGAATGTGCTTTTCAAATACCGACCCTGATGAATAGATGATAGATGCGGCTTGGTAGAGGGCAGTCTGATGTATCAATTCAGTGAGACCACATTGGCCTTGTTCGCTTTACAACTCATTTCTTTCTTAATGCAGCGACTCTGCCGGTTTTCAGTCAAGTGGATGGCAGGAATTTCCAGATGAAAAACACTGCGCTCTGAGCTTGTACATTTCAGGCGTCGCATTCCCCAGCGTACCGTGTCTACAAGATTAGATATAACGACTGCCCTATGGTCTCCGAGGACAGACAACCATAGAACTTTACATCACAGTCGGAAAGTACACGAGATAAACGTACAGATCACCGAGGGACTTAGATGAATATGGAGCGATGGAGGAGCATGCACTGAACACGGGACAAAAAACACTTGGAAAGTGTCACAGTTTTGCGGAGTGGATTACGTTACACGCCACGCAAACTGATGGCCGAGGCGGTTCTAGTGACATACGGTTGTACTTCAGTGCAAAATTGTCCCATAATTCGCGTCAGCTTACAGGTCATATCCCCATTCATGAAGATATTTTGCTTCAGCTTGAATGAGCTATTAGTGCTCAGGTTTCTACGTAAATCTGTGAGCTCTCCAGCTGTTGATTTGACTTTTGTGGATCCTGAACTCACCCTTTGAAACAAAATGTGTTGACTAGGCAACCACGGGAAGAAACTTTGTAGGTGATCAAATTCGGTATGTCTCGTATTGTGAGGTGTCGACGGAGTGATTCGCCATTCTTGAGTAAGCCTGGAACGATCTCAAAAGTTCAGTATTGAGCTGCCATTTTACCTCTCAGTAGCTCTCATAGTCAATGTGTTCAAAGGAAGTAAATGAGGAATTTGTATGACAAATGCTGTTGTCTTATAACTCCCCATTCATCTCAGTCACCTGTTTTAGAATTTATGTTGCTTTCATTACACACCCTCAAGATAATTTGTTGAAAATGTTCTAATCTATACATGCGTGGTTAATCAGCCTACACTGCTGCGCTTGAGGCAATAATACATGGGTTTTGCTTGTGATAACTGCATTGGTTGAGTGGCGCCAATCGTACACTGGTGAGTACCACTACCGTGGAAACTAAAACTGTGGCTCATTATTCTACCGTTATCCGTAGGACTACCTAAACCTAACACGTGTGTGAAGGGAACCAGTTACTGACGCAGTTGCATTCAGTAATGGAATCCGAACGATGTGGTATCTGCTGGAGTATCCGGTAAACACACTCTGGTACATGATGTTTTGTCACAGACAACACTTTCAGTCTTACTAGTACGGCTCAGTACTGATAGCAGCAAACTGTCTCTCGGTAAAGTACATGTCACGGGTCGACCAAGGGATGTAATTCAGCGGTCGTCTCAGAAGACCATCTGTGAACATAGTCATGTGGACTGAAATCAATCAGGTTGTGACACACTCAGGTCATACTTGTCACATCTGAAATAGGTTGGTAATAATGTACCATAGAGTAACATCAAAACAAAAACAGTGAACGAGTCGCCTGTCTTCGGCGGTTCGCCTGTTGTTTGTATCTTATTCGCATCTGATTAGGGTATATGAGGATTTGGAGATGGCATTGAGAACATTTGACCAAGTGAATTGTCGATAACACTTTTGAGGTCAGTGAAAGATTCGATCGCTAAGTTCTGTGACATGAAGCATTCCTGATGGGTCTGTAGTTGTACGTCAAATTGAGCTTGTGTATTGACTGTCAATCTCCATTGTCTAATCCACTACACAATAGTACTTTGCCTGCATCTAAATAGACTTACATAATAAATAGCAGAAAGGTCATTTTTTCGCCAGATGAATTCTCGGATAATGCTGTGGGGTGATATTTTTCGGAAACATAATAATCACTGAGATTTTGTGCATTTTTTCCATCCTACCATCGAGCCATCTCACCGTCAGTTTTCTAATTGAGGACTGTTCCAATGAGAACGTTGTAGATTGTTGCCTGCGTCAAGCCAAACGTTGGTTAAATGGCATGGTCAATGCGTATCATTCGAAGAGCAGAAATCCAAAGCCAAAACAAAAGTTCACAAGAGGACCCGTCCCACATATAAATAAAATTACTCGTAACAAACAGTCTAGAAGTAAAAGAAACACAATTAGTCTTGTAATAAAGGCCATCCAAATTACCAGTAACCATTCTCAATAGTTAAGTTACACGTAAGGTAGAAAACAGTTTACTAAATCTGGAAATTTAAAGTCAAAACATGACGTAGTGGAGTGAGATGTTGAAATCTGACATTTCGGTTGCTGTGAGCAACCTTTTCCAAGGATTTTTATAGAATCATATATAACGCTGGAGGACTCCTTCCATGCATGACGTATTGGGCTGTAATTTCAACACAATTGTTGGATAATCTCGCCGTCCCTATCCATCATCCATCATCCACTTGCGATATCGGGTTATGTGGATGAGATGATGGATCATATTGCAACCTCCAACATTGTCCACAGGATATTGTTATCTAGAAATAACTGATTTCAGCTTACCTGACGCACAGAGATCTGTCTTCAGACGTGGAAACCAAGCGTGAAAATACGACCGCTCCTATTCCATTCATGGCTGACGCACGCACCTAAAAATCTATCTGTGGCATCGCATATTTCGGTAGCAATATAACGCTACTAGCTCCGCATGCGCAATCGCTGTTTCGCCGAATCGGTTTGATTCAGATGCAGGAGACGCGAGAGGAGTTTTTCTGGTGCGTGGTAGGTGGTGATGGGGCGGGGTAAGTCAATGGGACACGGTTGATTATTCCACGGATCGGTTTTCCAACGATTCAACTGTTGTCAGAAAGGGCTATGTGGGAATGTGCTTTTCAAATACCGACCCTGATGAATAGATGATAGATGCGGCTTGGTAGAGGGCAGTCTGATGTATCAATTCAGTGAGACCACATCGGCCTTGTTCGCTTTACAACTCACGTCTTTTTTTAATGCAACGACGCTGCCGGTTTTCATTCAAGTATGTGGCACTAAGTCTCTGTGTAATTTTCTCGAAGCTAATGACGTCAGATCTGCCTGTTTTGAAATAGTAATCGGGTGCCACTTTGGCCAGTATTCACTGGTTTTATTTTGCGGATGTGAAGTATCCACGTCTGGATTTATGGTTTCAATCATCCTATTTGAAATTGGTGCACTACTAGTTCAGAACTGGTGCAGTTGGTGTGTATGCAAATAAAACTATTTGTGTCTCCATAGTGACTTTAGAAACCATTGGCTGACCTAATTATCCTTATCGCCGACCCATATGTCTCAGTATATCTTACCCTTACATTACCCATTCAGTCCCTCAGACTAGCTGAGATTTCTGACTCACTAGAGCGTTCCTTTTAGTCATCTTGCTCAACCACACATGAAATTAGTGTATGACGCCGATTACACTACTTCAAGTTTTATGCCCTAAATCTTAGAAAAATAGCACGAAACTACTTTCCATCACAAGAAACCGTGTCTTCTCTGTCTCTTTTTACATTCCTCATGAGTCGAACAGGACTTGTATGGAGGCTAAAATTTATTTTACCTGTTATACTCACACTACATCAGATATATTGATGCCTGTATCGTACTCGTAGTGTACCGAGATTGGGTACCGATGCAAATGGCCGTAGTTTATCCACAACATTAAGGCCACCGTAAGATAAGAATACCATCTATTTTACAGTATTGTGAAACGTGTCACCATCAAAATCGGTTTGAACATTGAAGCTTTACTGATGTTCAACCACAAAAATTTATTTTATTATGCTTGAAGACTAGGAATTATAAAAGTGGGTTAGGAAGGGGTACTGAGCTAGCTGCTTCAAGCGTCTCATTTGAAAAGGCATGAAACTAATAGCACGAATGCCAGCGGCATCGACTAACCACCATTTCTTGCAATGTCTCCAGCCAAGTGCAGGAAGGGCCGTGGGGCAATATCCTGGATTGAGGACCCAAATAACAATGCTCAGACGCTTCATAATGCCTTTCACGCCCATTTGCCAAGCCAAACGTTGTGCACTTAGCGGTTTCTACCATCTGAAGGAAGTACATAGAACAACACACGTCTCGGGAGATGGAGTTTCGGCATGCATGGCACATAGCAGGTACACAATAGCTCATTGAGCTGGATGTTTTGTGCGATTAAATTACCTGCCGCACAAACAAATGCCAGTTTTCAAACCACTTCGTTACATGAGCTTCTCGATATCAGCAAAGCGTCTGAGCAACTGTTGAATTCGTCTCAGATTCTGTTCGCCAAGTTTCACAACCGTACAACAAAGGAGTTGTTACCGTAGCCCGGTACACGCAACCTTCGTTTTTTCGACGCTACAAGTGACACAAATTAGCAAACGTGTTTTTGATCATGCACCAAACATCATTTGACACACTTCCATCAGAGCTAATGCAACTGCCGGGATATGTAAAATTCTCCCAAACCTCTGGTTATTCTCCTTGAGTTGTAAGGCGTATCTTCAGAGAGTGCACACAATTAAGAGGACTTTGTGCCTTTGGGATATTGGACGAATGTCGAAAGATGATGTGGTGCTGGTCAGCCTGTTCAACAGACATTTTGCTGCGACTTGGTTTTCAAAGATGAGGACAATATCGTCTGCGTACTTCAGATTGATGTGATTCTCGCTAGCGAAAATTTGAACACCGGAGTTTTGCAGACCTTTCATTGTTCGGCCTAATATTTGATCAATGCTGAGTTTGAGCGAGAATGTAGACAGTTGATATCCTCGCCGGGCACCAGTTTTTTATGGAGAAGATTTTGAAAATCATACGGTACACTCTCACACTGCAAGTATGTGGATATAGGGAGCAGATTATCCTCACAAACTTCTGGGGCATAACCTGTTGAGCAAGCGTACTTAACAGCACTGAACGCGTCGTCGAAATCATGAAACACAGACTGTGGGTCTTCTGTACATGTAGCGTTGCTATAACACGACGGGATATAAGCATGTGGTCAATTGAACCCTTTTTGTTTGCACGTACCCTTTGCACGTACCCCCTGTGATTGCACGTACCCTTTTGAAAATGCGCACTATCGTCAGTTCACCCCAGTTATCTGGAGCGGTCTTTTTCCAGGATAGCCAAGTAGGCTGAAGTGGCACTGGCTAAGAAATCCAACGCCATCCTTGAACAAATCAGGTGGAAGGATTTCAGGACCAGCAACACGATGATGCAACGATAGAGGCATAAACTTGGGGCACATTTGAGCTTGAAGGGTGCTCCATACTCATAGTCCAACATTTTGTTCAAGGCCCGGAGTCCTGAATGAAGTTACCAGTGGCCAATTGAATCACTGTTCAGGGTTTCATACACACCGGTTTAAACAATCTCCTTTGCTGTGCATCACAGACCTCTTCTGGTCCCTGAAAGCTTCACTGACAAGGGACTTCTGAGAAAAACCAGGCTAACAAATCAAACGGAACAGCTTGCGCAAGTTTTCAGCATTTTTCGCTTCCTCCATTTCTTCTGCCTTTAGGGTCCACTAAATTTTGCGGTCTTCACGGACACTCGGATGCATCGAATAGAGTTGGGTTGCGATTGGAAGGAGTCTGCCGCTTAGCCCTCGGCAATATAATGGTCCTATCAGAGATCCTATGTTTGGATGAGATTGGCTGAATTGTACTGCAAACGGTATTTCCGGCTTTGAATATATTTTTGGACACATGTTTCTAGGAGCCAGAATAGGACTGTCCGGAATACGACTGTATGGTAAGCGTTCTAGAAGCTGGTTCAGATAAATTCGTTTGATTTTCGGGTCCACTGGTTTCTCAATGGCTTAGCGAGTCATGTGCGTTTTTGAGCACCATGTTGTCAAGCGGTTTCTACTGTTCCGGAACATGGTACTGCAAAGGAAAAGTCGGTGATAGGCCCACATCTGAAGCAGGCGGTTTCCGTTGTCCGCGCGTCTCGTGTTCAGTCCAAGACGACCACCCAATCGAGTCTCAACAGCGTTTAGTCTATGTATATGAGCGTTCATGTCACCAACAAAAACAACGATGTCTGAGCTTTTAACCTGTTCTAAAAGGACATATAACGTGCCACAGATTCAGAGCTACAGTCGTTTGAGTCGTAAGAAGGCACGATAACCAGAATCCGATGGACCTCACTTCCTTGATATTCTTTCACAGACGTTGCCAAAGGAATCGCGCAGAGACAATTACCAAGGAGTATCCAATCAATGAGAGCCTCTTCCGCTCGGCATCCGACTTCACTGACGTTTAGGTCGCCAGATGTATGCAACCGGAATCTCTAAAATAGCGACGGGGGCGTCAATCCAACTAAAGTAGTTGTGTCTTGTATACATTTTTTCCAACATACAGCGTACATCAATGAGGACGGGATGCAGAGCAGGAGCAGAAGCCACTTGTTGAATTGCTCGCTTCAGTGTGTGAACATTAAAAACAGCCGATTAGATTGGCTTTTGGAGTTTCAAACCGAACTTCGAAGTGCCTAATGTTGTTACTGAGTTTGGACGTACAGAAGCTGCAGCTGAGTCTGATACGCAGTGAACAAAGTGGTCAGTCCAAATGCTGGGGGTCTGCGGAGATGGTATTTAAATTAGGGTAGGTATATGTTGTAAAAGGAAATACGTGAAAGTGTAAGAAGAGAGGCGTCTGTAGTAGCCTGTTTTCCCTTAACCGCCCTACTGTATGCAGCAAGTAAGGTCATCTGGTTGATGGCACCACAGGCGGTCGATTTGGCATGAAAACATTGTTAGCTGAGAGCGTAATTGTACTTAGACTGGGATAGTGCGAGGGCACCCAGATCTGGACAGGAGGACAATTACGGGCCTAAGTCAAATCATCTGAATCAAAAGCCTAATCGCGAGAAAGCGATATTTGGGGGAAAAGGATAGTGCATTACTATTTGAACAGAACAATTCACCCAACTGGGAGAACCAGTAGACGGTTTTGGTCAGATCTCTAACTAGTGACCAACCTGGTATGGGAGACTTTGCGACTGTCGCAAGGAAATCAGCCATTATAGCTCCAAAGGTTCCGAAGGCATACAAACCGTCACAGTAATGTAAGATTTGGTCTCTTGGTGACGGGTTTTCCGCGTGGAATTCACGATGTTTACAGTGGCGTGAGCTTTCGGTCGAAAAATAATTTTTAAACAACTTGTTAAAATAATTGACCCTCATTCAGACCGACCAAAGCAGCATGCAGATGAAAATAGTCGTATCGTATTCTGTCCGGCAGATGAAGTAGATGAGGGCTTTTTCGAGCAGAAAACTAAAAAAAAAGTTGTCGAAAGGGTTATGTGTTTTCTGGGCTGGAATGGGCATCTTTGGGTCTATGATATAAACAAGAGCCTCAAGAAACCTTATGCAAGTTCACATAGACGTCAATATTTGATCCGATTTCTTTAGTCACTGCAAGATGCCCCAATGGAACTACCCTGCTGAAAATCTGGGCAGGCGTTCGCCTACCACCTTCGCAAAGTTCAGATGCCGATTCCGGGTAAGTGCAACTAGGCTGTAGACATCTCAGTTTCTGCACTCAGCTTCTCCGTGCTTTTAGTGTAGAAACTCAGTCAAATAAGGCATTGAATGTTTGCAAAT